GGGGGGCGCTAGAAAATAATTAATTCTCGAAGTGGGTGATAGACAAAATAAGTTTGAGAACCTCTGTGTAGAGTATCCTGAAGCTTTTTCCGCTTGTCTTTCAGGACTTTTTTGTTTCTTCCAGAATATTTTGCGGATCCTTTCCTTTCAGCACAGCAGCAGTCACCACTTGCCTCTGTTTTTTATTTTCCTTTAGCTCTGATTTTGTTGCCTCTTTTCGTGTTTGATCCGTAGGGTTCATGTATTTTCCACTTTTCGTGGTATTACAGTATCGCCTCCTCATTTTGGTCGTGAACTGATTGATTGTTCAAAACGAAGTTTTGAATAAAAAAACGAAGTTTTGAATAATCAATCAATTCACGATTTTTCAATTCAATTTTCAATTTTTTCAGTTCACGATTATTCAAAACGAAGTTTTGAATAATCAATCAGTTCACGACCTTACGTTTCAGGTACATTTCAAGTGCCTGATTTTTACCTAAGTTTGTAATGAATTACAACTAGGTAATAATCAGGTACTTGAAATTTAGGTACTTTAAATTGCAGAATAAGATATATTTAGCATTGAATGTATAGAATTACTTCATTTTGAATAATCAATCAGTTCACGTCCAAAATGGGGAAGCGATCCATCAATATCACGAAAAGTGGAAAATACATGAACCCCACGGATAAAGTACGAAAAGAGGCAAGGAAACAAGAGCTGAAGAAAAATAAAAAGCAGAGGCAAATGGTGAGGGCTGCTGTGCTGAAAGGAAAAGGACCCGCAACAAATTCTGGAAGAAATGGAGAAAATTGATGAAATGGCGTACAATGTGAACCAGCCGTCACCTTTAAACGAAAAAGTCCTCAAAGACAAGCGAAAAAAGCTTCGGGATACTCAAGAGTTTTCAATATGTATCATAAAAATGACCCAGAAAAGTGGACAGACCTGAAACGACGCCAGACCGATTATGACCATAAACGTAGTCAACTCGTCATCTTCTACGAGTCTGTCAAAAGGGCTCAACAAGTAAAGGTAGACGAAATCCCCTTACCGCAGCTTCCTCAGCAGGCCAATGCTCTACCAAATGCCCCCGCACATATTCCTCTACCGACAACCGAAAGAAAACAGCAGCACACCATATACTCCATAGCGGCAGCTCTTATACTCCAAGCTCTAGGCCAGCCGGTGCGGGAGCCTCCGGGTTCCCCTCCTGGCCCGGCTCCGGACTTGAATGATGGCGGAGAGGTAGAGGAGTTTGGAATAAGACCACCAGCAGAAGAAAAGGAGATGGAAGTTGACGAAGCAAACATTAAAAACGAGTCTTCAGCTGTGAAACCTACTTCGCTTCAACAGAAGATGGTGGCTCTTTCGGGACTGAATATCAATGAATCCATGAAGGAAAAAGAGACGGTGCAGAAGAATTGGGACATGAACCGGAAAGCCAGGGCGAAGATATCCGTTCACATAGAACCTTTGGTACTGCCCATACTACCCACCCGAACCCCCGTACTGCCTCCCCACCTATTCCCCAGCAGTATACGACTTCCTCCGGGCCTCCCGCCAGGCAGGCCGCTAATTACGCCAGGCCCGCCTCCCAGATTGCCGCCGCGGTTACTACTCAGGCTATCGGGTCCGCCACAGCTTGTGCAGCCTAATGTGCTCTCGGCTACGCCTCAGTTGATCAACGGATCGGAATTATCGAATCAGGGGGCTACGATATCGGCCAAACCGCAGATCAGGAATTTGAGTGCAGATGTAACGAGGTTCGTTCCGTCTGCTCTGAGGGTCAAGAGGGAGGACAAGACGCCCATGAAGAACCCGAGCGCCTTCGCCAGAGAGATGAAACAGAAGGAGTTCAACATGCACCAGAACGCCCTGGCAGGGCGTACCAAAGACGATGCTTACAAGCTTTTCATGCAGGAGATGGAGCAGTTGATGTGAGGATACTGCCGACTATGATGAATTGAAGCATAGGAGTGTTTCTAAGAAACAACACTGTTTGATTTTCAATAAATGATTGTACCTAATCCTGAATGTATTTTAATAAAAGAAAATTTTTGAATGTTGAGGTGTTACTAATTCTCATCTGCATCTGAGAAAATGGTAGTGTAGATGAATATTTAACAGCAAGGTTACCATAAAATTATAAAATCTGTTATTTGCCAAACATCTAAACCAAAACCACTGGGCCATCAAAATATTTAAAGGTCGAAGTGATGAATTATTTTACAAGGTTTTGGATTATGCCAAAACAAATTTTTTTCGAGGTCACATCTACACTTTAAAATATAGTAACTATGCAAGGCACTGAGGCATATATCACGGAGTATATGCAAACTAATGGACACTAACCAAAATTTTGAGGTTATTCAGGTAATTCATTGCAGACTTTTATAGCCTGTGTAAAATGATTGTATGATCCTTTGTTTGTTCTTACCATGCTCAGGTGTAAGTCATTTCTACCCCTTGTATTAAACTCATAAAACTGGTAGATCGTTGTTGCTTTTGATTCTTTCGTTTTTTTGTTTATATATGTTCTTGCATTGCTCAATTTTAAGTGGATATTTAATTGGGTGTAGTTCAGTCTGTGACAATAAATCATTTGTGTGGGTTCGAAATGTAATTTGAATTAAATTTTTTATTGATTTATTTTGTAGCGTTTGAATTTTTTTGAAATTAGTAATGCCACAATTAGCCCATAAGATTAACAGATACCTAAGATTCGCCAATATATATGCATTGTAAACCAATTATCTATTACTGACACTCAAGTAACTGGAACACCTATATAGAGCTCCAATACTGATACAATTTTATCATTGATATGTTCTATGTTTCCTGACTAGTTTATCTTATCATCTATTATGAGTCCCAAATAAGTTACTTATGATGCATTGTTTGGAATCTTTGGTGTAGTAATGAATATCACTGGAGTTTTTTCCCAACACAAAATCGTTATTTTTAATATCTCGATACGTGTTTCGATCACCAAATGATCATCTTCAAAGAGGAAGATTAAAACTATAAACTAATACGAGTTAACCCTATTTATGCTGTATAGGTATCCCATACAGGTAATCCATCCAGGCGTACGATCCATCCAGGTATGCTAACATAAATTAATTTTACAATGTTGCCTTATATATTATTTTACAATATATGTTTATATAAAACAATTTTCACCTATATAAAAATTAATTTCACAATATTGCCTATCCAAATTTATTTTTGCAATGTGTTCTTNGACAAGGACAGTCGTGAAGAAAGGAAGCGTTTTGATAAACTAGCAGCTATACGTCAATTTTTTGAAATGTTTGTGAAAAATTGTAAAGATGGATATAATTTATCTGCGTTCACTACCATTGACGAAAAATTGGAAGCCTTCAGAGGAAAGTGCTCGTTTCGTCAATACATACCGAGTAAGCCGAATAAATACGGTATAAAAATATTTGCTTTGTGACGCAAAAATGTTTTATACGGCCAACATGGAAGTATATGTTGGACGTCAACCAGAGGGGCAATTTTTTGTAGAGAATTCAGGGCAGTCCATTGTTGAGAGACTAAGCCAGCCAATTCATAATTCGGGACGGAACATCACGATGGATAACTGGTTCATGAGTATACTATTAGTTAACAGGCTTATCACAAATTACGGGCTAAATGTTGTGGGAACTTTAAAAAAAATAAAAGAGAATTACCTTTCGAATTGCTTCACGTAAATCGTCCCGAAAAATCCACTATTTTTGCATTCAGAGAAAACTGCACCCTTGCATCTTATTGTCCAAAGAAAAGTTGTGTTGTTAGCCTCTAGTATGCATTCCGATGATAGCATTGATCCTGAAAGTGGGGATTCATTCAAGCCGGAAATACTGACACAATATAACAAGACCAAAGGAGGAGTTGATGTTGTAGACAAGTTATGAGCAACATACAATTGTGCCAGATCAACACGGAGATGGCCGATGGTGATTTTTTACGCTTGTCTAAACGTAGGTGGTATAAACTGTCAAGCAATTCACCATGCAACTACTAACGATAAAATCTTACGACGTAAGTTTAAGCAAAATCTCGGATTTGCATTACTGGAAAATCACTTGCGTGAAAGGGCCACAATCCTTTGTTTACCTAAAAATTTGGGGTTGAGAATTATAGAAATATGTGGTATCGAAAAGAATGGACCAGAAGCGACTAGGCAAGTCAATACACATCCTGAGAAAGGTAGATGATTTTACTGCGATCGCAAGAAAAATCGTCAATCAAGATTTTTTTGCAAAAATTGTCATACATTTATGTGCTTAGAGCACGCTACTTTTATTATTTTAATAACACTGAAATTAATATGTTCACAAATATGTACCAAAACACCTCCAGCTCTTCCTTCTCTGCAGGAATGAACAGCCACAAATCCATCTTGATAAAATAATTGAACTTCATTGTCAGACAGCCACGTCTCCGTCAATACCAAGATATCACAGCCATTTGTTTTTTAAAAACAATGTAGTTCGTCCAACTTATTATGCAAACTTTGCATATTAGCATAGCAAATGCGAAGTTTATTTGTCAATCTAAGAACTAGTTTTTAGGTCGTATTCGTCATTAATCAGGTTAACTTTGCTACCTTCGTCCATCTTCAGTAAAATGTTTCCATCCTTGACCCAGATAAACCTGAAATTGTGTTCATTTCTGAAATTCCTGGCCTTTTTATATAGCTCCTGTTTTCTCTTTGTAAGGTCATGGTCAACGTATATAGGTTCATCTCGAATTTTTGTGCTTGTTCTCAATACACTCAATTTCTTCATTCTTGATATCTTTATCTTCTTTTATATATCTGATACGTATAGGCTTGCAGAATCTTAGTGATGAAGCTAGCGTGTTCTGCCATATTGTTTGATTACCATTCATCAGTCGAAGAGGTACCAAATAACTTAAAAATATATTTACATCACTGTTTCCCTCTTTTTCAAACTTTTGCTTATATTGAATTTGGTTGGAACTATCACATCCCCATTTATACATGAGGATGAAGCCAAGGTACGAAATATATAAAAAATGGAAATTGAACTATAATAGACGACCCCCAAAGTTCTTTTTTTTATCTCCAATAATAAAAAAAGTTATATGGGTGAGCCACAATAGAGAATCACCCGGTGTACTTTACATCAATTCGAGTTCTGATTAAAACAATTTTATATTTTATGGCTGAGAAATAGTTTGCAGACTTGGAAAGGAAATAGTTTTCTACTCGTCTAACTTTGAAATAGTTGAGATTTCTCAATTAATAGAATGCGCCTTAGAAATCAGTCCCTTGATGCCAGAATTCCATTATTATGTTTACAACATAACTTTTATTGAGAATATCAAATTTATTTTGCAGACTTCTAAAGGACACCTGACAGGAAATTATTTCCTTGAAAGGACAGAAGAGTTGGAGACAGGACGATTCAGTTGTCGATCAAAACGAATGCATATAAATAAATTTATTTGGGTAAATACATAACTGGCAATAACTATACATAGATAACCTACTTCATTATACAAAATAAAATCGAAACAAGACATTTGTAGAAAATGACAAATAGTTTTTACATTATTAAAAAGGCATTTAGCTATTTTAGCATTCACCGACATTTGGCAGAAAATAATTTTCTTTGCAATAATTCAGATCATGGCGATACTTTTATTGTAAACTTAAAGAGTCTTTGTATCATCAAAAAGTAGAAATATGTACACCTACAGGATGGTTCACTGTCAGAGAAATTTCATGCCAATTATAGATGGAAATTTCATGAGGCCCAAGGATCCTTGAAAATAAAAAGAACAAAGTTTTTACTTTAACTCAAAAAGTATAGCATCACTAGTCAGGGCCGGAGAAGAAGGCAGTCATTCAATAATAATAAACATAATAATATGAACCCCCTTTTCCTCCCTGATTAAGTGTGTAATTTCAGTAAGTAGTATAACTGTATGTTCAAAAAATGTTACAGGCTAACGGGTCCGCCACAGCTTGTGCTGTGGCGCCTTCGCCAGAGAGATGAAATAAAGAGTTCAATATGCACCAGAATGCCCTGGCAGGGCGTACCAAAGACGATGCTTACAAGCTTTTCATGCAGGAGATGGAGATTATGTTAAATATGGATTTGATTGTCTTTCAATGATGAATTTTTGTGATTGTGATCCTGAATGTATTTTAAATGAAGAGAATTTTTGAATGTTGAGGTGTTACTAATCTTATCTGCATCTGAGAAAATGGTAGTATAGATGATTATTCAACAGCAAGATTACCATAAAATTATAAAATCTGTTATTTACCAAAATTCTAAACCAAAATCACTAAGCCATCAAAATATTTGAAGGTCAAAATTATGAATTATTTTATACAAGGTTTTGGATTATGCCAAAAAAAAATTTTCAATGTCCACATCTACACTTTGAAAAATAGTAACTATGCAAGGCACTGAGGCATATATCACAAAGTATATATACACAAATGGACACCAACCAAAATTTTGAGGTGACATAATAATTTGTCCAGTGAGATTTCAACCCATATATATGTTACTGTCAAAAGTACTGTCAATTTAAAAAACTAGAAGTACCTATCTCCATTATGACAGTCAAAATCACATTTTGAAAAATACAAATTTTGGAATAGTGTCCCACTTCGTGAATACTAGATGTAAGTTGCATTTACAAAGTACAATGAATGAATCTATAATATTTTCTGTTCGTCATTGACATATTCTAGTGATATTTCTTATGTTGCTGTACATAATTTTGAAGTGATAATCAAATACACATTTTAGGATATTTGTTATACCTTTAGCTGCAATGCCCGCCATCAATTACATTGAAAATGGTACAAGGCGAAAGAAATACTAAAATAATTGTTCATGTTAGAACGATGTATTTTGATCAGCTATTGATCACTTGATTGAAAACCCACCTGGGTAACTGATAATATAAAGTAGAAAGGACGTAACTATAACTTCACCTTCACCATTTCTTATGTGTTGCGGATCTTTCCAGGAACATAATTCTTATCAATTTGTGGTTCCTGAAGAAACATATGTAGACACCTTTCATTTTGAGCCAATGGATGTCCAGCAATTCTACAAAAGAAAGATTGTTGAGTATGTCTATCCATGATTCAATCAAGTCTGTAGTATTTAATAAAATCTCACTGAATGCCTTTTGGGAAAATTAATAATTCAGAACATAATCAGAGACCCTAATTATCCAAAGAAGATTAAACATAGGACTTTTTCATTAGGCACTATGGTCTAAGACTACCAATGAGGAACAACCTGAGGAAAACAATTGAAAACCACCTCTACAATTGTCCTGAACAACCATTAACCAGGCTTGTGGAAGACCTAAAAATGACTTGCTGAGCAGACAGATTACATTTTCTGATTGATTCGGCCGTTACTTGATGAAGGAAGATCCATAGTAATTTCCAAAAATACACCTCACTATTTGATCTCCACAAACTTTATTCGAAAAATATAATCACAACATGTTTCGCTAGCACAGTAGCTTTCTCAAGTGTATTCATACACTTGAGTAAGTGTATGAAAGTGTATGTAAGAAGTGTATGAATAAACTTGAGAAAGCTACTGTGCTAGCGAAACATGTTGTGATTATATTTTTGAAATAAAGTTTGTGGAGATCAAATCATGAGGTGTAGTTTTTGATTAAACAGATTACAACTTGTATTTAGCTCAAAAGTCAATGCACACCACCTGACCCTGGTAAAGCAGTAACATCAATGGGTTAAGTGAGCATTTATTACAGTTTACTAGGACAAACAAGATAACTTAAACGTCTCACAAACTTGACATGTAGGGCAGTAATAAAGATTATATTTGGTATTACAATTATAATAAGTTGAGAAAATTTCTACTAATCAATGGCATGTACTTTGTTGAAAGGAATCTAGCAAAGAAAGGAATATAACAATATAACTCTTTATAAAGATATGTAGATCAATAATAGAATTTTTTTTTCAAATACAAACTAGAAGAAAACCAAGAAAATTTTTCAAACAATCGCTTAACAGATATCAATCATAGAAACGCTACACAACATATGAAAGAGTATTGATATAAAACGTCATTATGGAACAAGATTCATCCTCAATGATGTACTTTTAAGTTTGGGGATACCTAAATACCTCATCAGCGCCTATTTGGATAACATTACAAATGGAAGTACCCATTTTTTTTCATAACATGACTATGTCACCAGAAGAGACAACTCTGATCTTGGCATGATGACAGTATATTAATACGGTTAGTTAATTCAGTAACAGTCATACGAATTTCATTTCAATTGAAAAAGGAATATTTTCAGATTGGTTATTTAGAAAAAAGCCTTTTGGATTTCTACTTCTCCATAATTTTTTACTTAATGATTGAGTAATAGAAAGCTAGTAAGCTTTTTACAAAAAAATAAATATTTCTCCCAATAAACTCCCGGTTTTCGATTAGCTAACCGTATAACTGTGTATATGTAATCTCATCGTGACAAGAGTTGTTTTTCAGGTGACAAAAGTCATATTGTTATGGAAGACATAGTACTTCCACTTGTATTGTTATCCAAAACAGTGTTGATGTGATGATATATGAGAAGTGTCTTGTCTTGAAACTTCGAAGTACCCCATTGAGGATGAGAGTGTTCCATGCAAGTGACATTTTGTATCAATAGTCTTTCATGTTGTTTATAGACACTAAGAACGCGTGAACTGAGACTTCCTTGAGTAATTAGAACTTTGCGTTCTATCTTCACTTGCTGGTAGGTACTCACCAGACAAAGAATACTTACAAAGGTTGTGACATTAGGATTGAAACTAATAAATTTGGGATAAGGATTGGATGTGGGTGCACCCCCCTCTCCCCGCTATTATAATTTAATATGGTTATACTCCATGAATTTGCATATAATTTTTATTATGCTAATATTCAAACTTACCAGGACTGTAGATATATTCAGAGGAGCTGTTTTTCCTTTCTGTATGAATTGATTATATATATTATTTTCTGGATTAGTAGTAATCGGACATTCAAGATTTGCGTTATGCAAGACACACTACGTCCCCGGACGAAGCAACTGTTGCATAACATCTGCTATGCAATAGGAGGAGACTGGTCTACTGCAGTGAAGGGAAGCAAGTACCATAAAAAAAGAGAAGAAGAAGAATACTCTTTCATATACACACATCGGAAAAGTCTAGAGATATTTTTATAACATACTAAATATCATAAAAATAAATGCATGAGGTCGTTTAATTTCGATTAAATTGGTACACTCGACCACCCTGTAGATTTCTATGGTTTGAACAAAGCCTGCAAAAAAGGTAACTAATCTTTTTTCAAGTTTTTTACAAACTGTAGGTTTTCGGCTAAAATGAATAATCTGAAAGTGTCGAGTTTGTACATTCTATGCAGTTCTTGCTCAGCAATTAAACTGGAAATATTGTGCTTTAACATGGAACGCCATCACTTACCATTGGCTGAGATGAATAGAGCTGTAGGGCTTCTTCAAGGTGGCATGCGACAAAATGATATAGCTCTTCGTTTGGGGGTTTCCCAAAGTGTTATCAGTCGATTGTGGCGGCGTTTCCGTGAAACTGGCAGTCCAGCCGAACAACATCCAGGGCGAGGACGCGCTACAACTGCAGTTCAAGACCGATTTTTGGTCTTAACCGCAAGAAGACAACCGACAATCACAGCACCTGAGTTGGTTAACGTGTTGCAGCAGACGCACCAGGTAACCATTGGTCGTGATACTGTCAGAAATCGACTGCATGAAGCAGATCTCCACAACAGAAGGCCACTTAGATGTCCACCTTTGTCGAGAGGCAATCGCGGTAGAAGATTAGAGTGGTGTCAAGAACATCAAAACTGGGATGCAAATGATTGGGCCACAGTTTTGTTTACAGACGAATCCAGATTTGGAATTCATCCAGATTCTCGTCGAGTAAGACTGTGGAGACGACCTGGAAATAATGAACGTTTGAGACACGTCCAGGAAGTCCACACATACAGAGGTGGTACAGTAATGCTATGGGGCGGAATCATGATCGGCGGCAGAACCGATCTCGTTTTTCCAAATCGCTCCCTCACAGCTCGACAGTACCTCGACACCATTCTTCTACCTATCGTCCGTCCGTTTGCTGGTGCTGTTGGTGAAAACTTCCACCTAATGCACGATAATGCTCGTCCACATGTCGCGCGTCTAGTGACTGACTGGCTCACCAACGAAGGAGTTGATGTATTGCCATGGCCAGCACAATCACCGGACCTGAATCCCATCGAACATGTGTGGGACATGCTTCAACGAAGAATTACTCCGCATATGGGAACATTCACACAACGTTTCAATTGAGAGAGCTTTTAATCGCTGAATGGGCAAATGTACCTCAACAAGACATTGACAATCTCATTTTGTCGATGCACGATAGATGTAGGGCCGTAATAAACCAGCGTGGAGGCCATACTTTGTACTGATTCCAATTTTTTTGTATTATGATTTTTTTTCGGGGTGCCAAAGAAGAGCCATATTTTTTTTTAGTTTTGCTTATATGCGCACTCAGTATTTTTGACCATTAAATAAATTTTGTTGTAAGTTACATTCGTTTAATAATCACCCGTCAACTTTTTTTTCCCTAAAGCGATCTAAAAAAAAAATATTGCCATTTTTAAAAATATCCCTAGACTTTTCCGATGTGTATATATCTTTGTGTAGCGTTCCTATGAATATTTGTTTCAGTTCCATAACATATAAATTGAACGAGAAAAAGTGATTTTTTTTTCGTGTAGTTCAATGTTCATGTAATAATATCAATTCATTTCCCAAGAAACATACAATGTTTATACTAGAGAAAAACGAACAATAACTCAATCACTTAAATAAAAGTATAAATAATATACAGTGCATTTCTTTAATGTCACCCCCTTTTTATTTTTTGAACGGGTCAACTCAAAAAATTGAAATTTGGGATAATGAAATTAATGCATGAATACTTTATTTTGAAGTGAAATTGACAGATGAAACTTTCAAGATGGCGACTGGGCGCCATCTGGGAAAAAAATTAATGGAAAGGGAGGTCTTGCGACACATCTTTTTGAAGCTCCTGACAAATGCTTCACAACCATAGAATATAATGTCAATATCTTCAACTACTACAAAATGACGGAAAACTTTTAATAATTGCATGAATACATTGACATTTAACTACATAATATGAGGTAATGAGCTTCAGGTCAATTCAGAAGATGTTCGAAATGGTTGTCTTCAACTTCTTGACATATGAACAGCCTATCCGATATTTCTCGCCAAACATTTTCGAATACAGTAACGTAAATATCTCTACAATAACGGCAATTTTGTTTGTGAATATTGCCGTTTAAAAAAAAGTACATTCTTCACTAAAACAAATAATCGCTTCAATGTTTTTTTCCAATGAACGAGAATTGACCATTTTAGAGATTGTTGGCGTGGTACCTTTTTACTAGCCCAGTCGCCATCTTGAAAGTTTCATCTGTCAATTTCACTTAAAAATAAAGTATTCATGCATTAATTTCATTATCCCAAATTTCAATTTTTTGAGTTAACCTGTTCAAAAAATAAAAGGGGAGACATTATTGATTGTTTATCATTAATTGATCTGAAATTCAAAACCCCTAGATTTTTCAAAAATCAAATTTGGGTAAAACATATAAGGTAAACCTGGAACCCCTGGCAAAGAATAAATCCAAAACAAGCACTCTTCCCAACCACTAGAACTGCAATTTTCTCTTCGACTCGCGTTTAACCAACCAAGTTGGCATCTTCAGGCAACAAAGGAAGCTAATTCCTAATTCCAAAAATAGTCTATATTTATATCTAACCTGGTAAATTATCCCTTTCCGACACACATCAATTATTTCTGGTTGAAATTTGAGGGAAAACTTCTTGTGAAAAATTTCAACAGAGTGATTCATAAAAAAGAATACAATGGGCTGTTTGGAATGGGTCTTTTGTCACTGTTCATAGTTCTCATGGAAATAGCAAAGTAACAGATTAGAACATATTTTCAAAAAGTTGTACTTGGAAGTAGCCTACAAAACTTCTTGCTCACTTCAACAAATGTTAGGTATCCCCAAAGACAAGATTTTGGAAAATAAAAAGTCGGGGAAATATGAAATAAGCTGAGAGGACTGTGGCAAAAATATGTTGGTCAATCTGAGGGATCCATTAAAACTCGTTTCAAAGAACACTCAATAAATAGCCAATTTTGGAGACTCGGATAATGCAGTGTAGCTCAACACATTTTAGAGAACGGCTATAGAATGAAAACTGCTCGAAACTATTGGCATTGGTACATGTACTCTTTCCATTTGATCTGAAAGACCAATTACCAAACAAACTAATCAGCTTCTCTAAGAAGCTGGATGTATTTGGTCGAGTGTGGATAGGTGTGAACCACAATAAACCCTTGCGGGTTGCGGTGGAGGGTCGAATAGACCCACTCACATTTGACCTAACCTAACCTAACATGTCACTAGATTTTTGTATGCTTTTAATCAGTGACAAAGGTCTGAATCTGAGTACATAGCACTCTCATGCCACACCAGAATCTCAGTGGTTGCATCAAATTATTGAAGAAATTCAACAATCAGATGAAGAGATCCAATCAACATATTTGGTGACAAGAGTGTAATAGATCTTCCAAAAAATGCTTTTCATGACGTTAGAACTCAACAGAATGATGTTAACTACCATTTTGTCAGAAGAGCTATCAGGAAAAAAAATCATGGAAGTTTACACTCAGAAACTTGTCGCAGATCCTTTAATAAAAGTAATCGACAGAAGAAAATATGGGTAGTACAGATATCATATGACGATTTCTACTTCTGTATTGGGCTTCTTATCAAGTGGGGTGTTGCTGTATGTATTGCCTTTCCAATTTCAAGAAGCTGTGGTGAAATACCTNGTATGTGAAACATTTTTCTCACAGATGAGAAAGATGTTTAAGATTAACGGACGCCCAATAGAAGACCCACTTCGAATTTGCTGTTCCTCTCAAGAGCCAAACTGGCTCAAGACTGTCGGTGTGGTTTCTCACATTAATTTTAGGTCTTGTGTTCTATAATTCCTTTATGCATGAAGAAACACAAAAATAGTTTTATGTCCCTCTGTGATTAAATGAGTGGCATATGTGGAATTTATTTCTGGAAACTATTTATGCATAAAGGAACAAAAACATAGTTTCCAGAATGGAAAAATAAATTCCACATATGCCAATCATTTAATCACAGAGGTACATGAGTTCAACCATGAATACAAGCCCCTCCATGTCCAGAAGAAAAGTTTGAAACTTAACCTGTTGGAGAGTATGGAAATAAACAAATTCAAAAACTCTCAATATTTTATGAACGATCAAAGTGAATTGAATAATTCATCATTATTGAATCTGTTCATTTCCAGGTAAAAATAGTTAAGTATATTTACGGTACTTTCGATACTTACGGTATTCATACAGGCCATTTCTTTTATCATGTGGTAACATTGCTATATTCTAAAACATAACAGATACGAAGACAATTAAATGGGAAAAAAGCTAACTGTCGGGAACAATACAATGGTCGAAAAAAATTTACGGGGTCTCTCGCTCTTCTCGAGTTTTACGGAGAAAACCAAAAATGCTGTTTTTTGTTTTTTTCGAATAGCATTGTTATTTCGGAGAATATCAAAAAATGGAAAAGGAAAATGTTATTGTATTCGAAGTGTACTATGACGATGTAATAATAAATATTCGATAAAACGTTTCGTGCCAACATGGCCACCATCAACTTTTTACGGACCTGTCTTTTTTATTACAGATATTGATAAAGCGATAAATTCACAATCCAAGGATATATAACATTTGATATTTTTGAAGCATTTAACTTGAAATAACCACCATCATCAGTGACAACAATCAAACAGAAAAACAATTTATTTTATCATGAACTTTTGGGAAAAAAGAAATCAATAGGGAAAATCAAAGCTACATGGCAATCTACATAAAATGCTCGAATTGACGACCTCTTTATTGAATGCACATAAGTTGTCGGTCCAGACAATTTCTGTGGCAATTTTCTAGCATAATCGGTGTAATACTTATACATGCATCTCTTATTTTTTGTTTGACTTGGTGTTGAAAAAAACTTTGCCCTTTATGTATCCCCAGAGAAAAAAATCTAAAGGAGTAAGATCTGGGGATCGAGCTGGCCAGTTAATTGGTCCATTGTGTCCAATCTATTTTCTTGAGAATAATGCATCTAAATGTTTCCTTACTATTGCTGCATTGTGGGGACGAGCGTCGTCCTGTTGAAAATATTGTATTTTATGGCGGATATTCAGTAGCAATTCATCTAAGTAGCCATCAAATTCATTGAAAAGAAAATGATCATCGTAAAAGAAAGGGCCAAGGATGTTTGTTCCCACAAATTCCCAACCAAACATTTATTCCGAGCCTTTCTTGGAAATTGGTTTCCCTATGTAAATGTTTATTTGTATTATTCCACCTATTATGGGTATTTCTGTTAAATCAACAATCGTTGGTGAATTTTGATTCGCGCGTTCATATTATTTTTTTACAAATATTTCCAACGTCCCTATTTCTACGTCTTAGCCATTTCACAAGTCGTACACTTCTTCTGTAATCCCTTTCATTGAGGTGAAGAACTTTGCGTATTCTGTAGCATTTACATTTATTCTTTTTCAAAATAATTCTGGTGGATTTTACAGAAATCCCCATTTCGTGGGCAATTTCTTGTAAAGAACAATCTTGATTAGCATAATTTTTGTTACTGGCCAATCCTGAATTTAAAAAAAGAAGTGTTCACTGTGTAAATTTTTATGGTGTAATATTTGCTTACTCATCACATTTATTTGATTCCTCACACTTTCAGTAACCAAATATTTTCTTATTTTCTTTCTGTCAAATGCACCATAGTCCCTCAAATTTCTTTCCAATCATCTAAAACATTTGGATGTATCGGAATACGACGATTGGGGTATAGCTCAACATACATATTCCTTGCCAAAAGAGGATTTCTATTTGATTTTGCGTAACTAAATAGCATATCAGTCCTTTCATCATTTGAATACATCTATGATATGTTGATGAACGTCTGACAGTTCCCAACAGATATCAACAACGCAGTATTTTTCCTGCCACATAAACCAAACAAAGCCTACACTTTTAAGATGGTAACTGAATTGAGATGCTATTTGATCATGCCAAATTATACATCAATCAAATTTTGACCAAAAACTGATATTTTCGTTACTTCCAGGATTGACAATTATAAAAATATTACGAATTATAATTGATTATGGAGAAATAAGCCTTGAAAGAAGGATTACGGCAATACAAAAATATCCAAAACAAAAAAGTACGAATTTTCATTATGTTAGGGTACCTACCTATCGAATTTATTGGGTTGTCTGAATTATATTCTGAAAAAATCGAAACAATTTACAAAAGAAGTAATGACAGGACTATTATTTAAAATTGTTGTCACTGATGACGGTAGTTATTTCAGATGAAACGCTAAAAAAACATCAAATGTGATGCACTCTTGGATTGTGAATTGTGATAGCCATGTTGCCATGTTGACACAAAACTTTTTATTGAATATTCATTATTACATCATCATAGTACACTTCGAATACAACATTTTTGGTTTTCCTCATATAACTCCCGATGACAGTTATCTTTTTTCCTATTTAATTGTCTTCATATCTATTACGATTTAGAATACAGCAATGTTACCACATGATAAAAGAAACGGCCTATATAGTTAATGAATTCATACCTTACCTTTTCAGGTAGATTCATTTATTGGAAATCAGGCATATGAGTAGGTAATAGGTTATAGTATAAAATGTTTAGGTTTAAGGAAGCTATTTTGTAAAACCCTTTATAGTGAAAATCATACAATAAACTGTATTCATTAGTTTTAATATAGATTTTAATCAATTATCGGCTAGTTCTATTCAATTGCCTATCTTATATTGACAGCTTCAAGTAGCAAAAAACAGCTGAACTAATTTGATTCAATAAAACTAGATTAATTTTCTCAACACACTACCAAAACCATAAATCAATTCTGAACTGAGGTTTACTACGTACTTATTAATGAATACTTCTAAACCCTTCCTTCTATCTTCTATGAAATCTTCTTCAAAAATTCCATCATCACCTCTAAAGGGTAGCTGTCTTTTCCAAGCTTTACCTGGTAGAGGAGGCACCACGATTTTACTGTCTCGTTCCAGTTCATTTCGAAGCCATTCAAAATCACTGTATCTCCTTCTCACACTAGATTCTTTTACTTTGAACACTGGTAAGTTTGTCTGAAATTAGATGACATACATTTATTAGCATTGTGTGATTTTCCCATAAACAGTAGGTATAATAAACCAAAACACATATGCCATTACAGTAAGTTTGAAGGAACTATGTTATATATAGTACCTAACAGATTTGTTGAGGTTAATGAAGTGTTTATGTGAAGGCAGTTAAATATATAAACACATTCCCCATTACAATATGAAAGTTGAGTATTACCCTATTTCTCATGGTAAAGAATGATGCTGTTGAGAATATTTTCTGCCCTGTTTTATTATTTTTTTCTATAAAATATACTATAACGTTTAATAGTCATAAGAAAAATAATTTCGCCAAAAGATTCCCAAATTGTAACAAAAATGAGGTCAACGGTGACATCTCATATGCCATATTTACAAACAGTTATTTGATTGTGTGAGTTTTATTGTATAAAGTTGGAGGTGTTATGTTATGTTATGTTTGATCAGCGTGTAGAAAAATTTTAACTTTTAACAATTTTTTTGTAAATCTCTCCAGTCGTTTGTTTAGTCCAGTGAATCAACAGTTCTAAATCAAAATTCCACCGCCATCTATTTTGGTCAAAAAGTTTCAGCCGCAAGGTACTACTACGGTAGAACGCTTATTTAGAGCAAAATTGTTATAAAACATAATAGCAATAAACTTTTTACAACCTCAATTGATGGTATTTTGCACACAAAATCTGGAGTTGAAAACTGTTTTGAGTTCGACGCAATAACTAACTATTTTGAAATATTCAATAATAAAAATGTATGATTTACAAACATGGACGAAACAGAAAATCAAGAACTGCAGCATGTTATAAAAATTCAACTGAAAATACAATACAATTTTCATGGTAATAATAATAATTCGATATGTTAAATCAGTACCAATAATTAGTTACATTATTTTCCGCAAGTCAAGCATATTTTTATTTTTCTGGTCATGTTTTAAATTTATTAATTTCTGATTTATTGATGTTTCATATGTAATAGTATGTTTGTTTGAGTCCTTTCCCTGATGTGACTTATATACTACAACCATTGAATAAAAAAATTAGTAAAAGCTGTAGATTATATCGCTTTTTTTAATGAATATTCAATAAATTAATGGTTGCAGCCGTTACTACATGTGGTAGGAGATCATGAAAAATGAAACTTTCTATGTTTTTATACCAATTGTATTTGCAACTAACATTACTGCAGTTTCGTCTAATAAGGACATTTGCATACAGAATTTATTATATTCTTTGAAAATGTCCTTATGAGATGAAACTGCAATAACAGTAGTTACAAATACAAGTGGCATAAAAACAAAGGAAGTTTCATTTCTCATTTTTCATAATTAATATTTACAGATTTCAACATTGTCTTGAGTACATATAGATTTTAACTCTAGGATGGTGTTGGTAAACTGTAGATCAGTGTAAATATTTCTCAGAGAATGGATCTCAGAATCCCGATTATTATTATAACAGATGTTATCATCTCGTGTAAACGTAGTAATAGATAATATTGATAAAATATGACTTTCTAGATAGCAATAGCGGAGGTATTTGGAATTTTTGTATTTGTTATAATATCGAGTGATGTATTAAATGAGAATGAAGAAAATTGGGAGTTCACAAATATAAACACGGTTCAATATGAAAATATACCAAGTAAAAAAAGCAAACTTTAATTTCAGGGCCTGGCGGGTGGCTCTCTACAAGCCTGGAATAAAATCTCCAGCAGGAAAACTGTAGGTTCAGGGGCTCAGCCAGGCTAGGGCCCAGCTGGCACACCTCACCTTGACTTTATGGCTAGTCCAACACTTACTTCTGTTAATTAAGCAGAGTATGGTCCCTGATTACATACATATTGTCATCTTATACCAAAAGTACCCATTCAAAAACTTTTTTGCAGAGTGTCTTTCCTGTAAATGTCAAATTCTATTTCGTTCTGTTCATTCCTTATGACCAATACATCTAAAAACGGCAACTTTCGTTCTTTTTCTACTTCATATGTGAATTTCATACTCTTACACCTGTTGTTTAGTGCTGAAAGGACATTCTCAATTCTGGTTATCCTTGTATCCACTACAGCGAATATGTCATCAACATACCTGATCCAGACCCTAGGGAAGCAACTGAGTTCTTTCCCAGCTTCCGTCTCAAACCTACCCATGAATAGGTTCGCTATAACTGGAGACAATGGGTTACCCATAGCCATTCCTTCACTCTGTTCATAATATGAGCCATTATATTGAAAACAATTTTGATCCATGCAAAGCTTGGTGAGTTGAATGTATTCTTCAACAGCTTCATTTGCTAAATTGTTCGATTTCAGAAGATCCCTCAAACACTCTAGAGCTTGTGATATTGGGACGCTTGGAAATCATCAATCATCGTTATACTTGTCTTATTGTCCCTTCAGCACCAATCTGAATAACATTATAAGATTAAGCACTCAATTCAATCATAACATCACCACTATATGTCATGGATGAAGTTAAATCTATTCATGTCATGATGACAGTACACAATGACATTCATTTGATTATTTCCTATGGCTGGGATTGAATCAATAAGCAAATGAATTTGTGATGCACTGTTTGGAACCTTTGGTGTAGTCATGAATATTACTGAAGTTGAATCTTCCTCTTGAAGATGATCACTTAGTGATCGAAACACGTGTCGAGGTGTTAAAAATAACGATTTGGTGTTGAGAAAAAACTCCAGTAATATTCAAGCAAATAAATGTCATTATGTACTGTTAACGTGACATATGAAAAGATTTAATTCATCTGTGACATAAAGTCATAATGTTAGGAATTAATTGATTGCTTTATCTTGCCATGTTATCCAGATAGCACAAATTTCTTATTCTGAAACATCAATATCCACCATTGAGGATGACAGTGTTACATATAAGTGAAAATTTATCTCTTTCAAACACTATATTGTGCAGCAGTCCTGTGAATGATATTTTATTCAATTCCATAACAAATGTCTGGAGTTCAAACTGAATAGGAAAAAGTCTTTTTTGTATAATCTCCAAACGTTTCAACTGCAACTGCGGCAGTCATCTTCAGTGGTGTGGTTGCAGTACTCTTTTTGAAGGATCAATTGTTTCAGTTGATTTTTCATTGTTTTTCAGTGAATACCTCAAGAAGAGTGCTTCGACCACGACACTGAAGATGACTGCTGCAGTTGCAGTTGAAACGTTTGGAGATTGTAACCAAAGAAGACCACGGCAGAATCCGGAAACCAACCAAAACATTTACACCAGTCAATGTTTTGTATGGTTACCGGGTTTTTTTTGAAGGGGTTTTTCCTCCAGTTTGTGTGTGAAAGTATCTTCTATGCATGTTCTACATATCTTTGTGAATAGTTTATTTTGAAATAAACTGCTTTCTTCTTTGTTTGGAAGTTTACAAAATGCAGATGTATACAATTGCAGGCCCAGGACCATGATATTGACTTGCCTAGGGTCCTATATGACCTTATCTCAGACAGAAACAGCCTCAACTGATTTATGAGTGAAAAAGTTTGCAAGTATCAACCTAACACATGAATCAATAAAAATACTCTCAGATAGCCTAGCAGATCTGGAAGCACTTGTGTTTTAATGAAGAAAGTCCATGTTGACATTCAACTCTCTATAAACTCCCTATAATAGGACGTCTCAGCAAAATGTCTCTGATTATGAAGTTGCGGATTCCTTTGTGAAAGGTGGCCCTACAAGTCATTTTATACCAGTCACTGGCATCACTTTAGATTTTGCCAAACAAATACAACACCTCTCAGAGTTTCATTTTCCTTATCGAACCTGGAAGATTCTCTATCGAACATACCCTATCTATTTATTCTAATTAACTTCATTGAGAAGATGAAATTATTTGATGGAGTTCGAACTGGTGTAAGCCACTCACTTTGAACCTAACCTACAAACACTAGCTGGCAAAACCCATGACAACTCCGCTTAAATGAATACCAATAAATTCCGAATACAGGTAGGACTGTATCACAACTAAATGTGAATATCGAAATATTTATTTACTTCACAACTGGCCGTACTGACGTTGGTGTTTAGTTTTAGACTTGCCCGAGAGAAGTGTTTTATGGGGTAAACATAAATATGTAATTTTAGAAAATTATTTTGTGAACATCTTGCCATTAATTCTATTTTCTGATTACATTGCAACCAAGTTTCAATAGTCATCTAAAATACCGAAAGGAAACTATTCTCATATATACATTAGGAATCTTATCTCTAGGGGGAGTATACTTACTCTCATTCTCACTTCATAGTCTGTAAACCTCTTCTTTCCAACTCCAATTGTAGTAACAGGATTCACTACATCGATTTCTAAAAAATTCGCAGGAGCAGCATAGGCATCATCTAAAGTTTGCTTTTTAACATTTAATCTTTTTGTGGCTTCCACGGTTGTATCTGACTCCGCCATCATTTTCAGGCTATTATTTTTCTGTGAAGTGAATGAGAATTTTAATAGCCTAATCGGCAAATAGAAAGAACGTGATACCTACAAATATCGTAGAAACGCTGAGACAACAGAATAACTAATTTATTGAAGTTCACAAAAAACAGCCAACAATTTAAGAATCTACCCTGTTTTTTGTCAAGTGTTCTATCGTCTGTCACCTTAGTTGACACTGTTGACAGTTAAGATCAAGTCTACGTCAATGCCTGCGAACATGGAGGTTAGAGATAAGGAGTATTGTGTCAGAAAGCGCCCCAAAAAGAACAATAAAACAAGATGGCGCCATAATAATATAAATATGATTAATTATCGAAAAACTCATTGCAGAAGTGAACACTACACTCAAGAAGTGTAAGAACTTGATCACAACAGACCACAACCCCAAGGCCTGTCGGAAGAAACACAATCAGGAGCGACGTTTTGTACGCGAGGGCCGTCTCATCGTCAGAGAACGCCTGCAGCTCTCCCGAAGGTCTCCCAACGGCCTTAGGGTAGCTGCAGGCGCTTCTAGTGAAGTTTCCGGTACTGCAATCCATGCTTGCCGGAAAATAAAACAAAAAATAGTGCCTAAACGGCCGCAAAGCCAAAGAAGTACGCTGCGACTTCCATACACATGGCCAAAAGCCAAAAGAAGCCGACAGAGGACCATGCAATCCCCTGCCGCCTCGCCACAGGAACTCAAGAGAAACTCAAACAGCCGAAAGGATAAGGGGCCACAGGCCCATAAATCTGACTGAAATAAGTTAACGAGTATGTGATCCTACGGTAACAAAAGTAATGGTCTGCCAAAAATTCATAAAACAGGCAAGTCGGTGCGACCGACTATGTCAGCTATTAGGTTACCCTACGTATAAGATCCCCCTACGTGAGCCAAATGGCTTACAAAACATTTCGAAATCCTATCGATGTTGCGAGATCGTAAGATATTTATATATTTTGGCGTATCTCATCTGATCTTCCTTAATTTATTGGCCTCAGTTAAAAGACAAAGTCAAATCATCCGTAGGATATTGATGGTTGTCCCTCCCAATCGCGTCACTGGGCAATCGAAATCTGAACGAGTTTCTTCATGTCAAATGTAGATATGATAAAATTGGGATATCCCAAGGAAACTGGTGATCTATGTGAGAAGGGTTCTCACGGCAGTCTTTTGCAGAACCAAGAAAAATAAATTTATCAATAATTTTGCAAACTGTCAACTCAATTATATATGATTTACACTTTTCCTCTTCAGAATAACAGCCAATCACGGTGGAACCAGTATTTTTTGAGCATCAGTTTTGAACACCACAGTTGTGAAACTGTCATGTTAAATTCTTTCCTGATTAAAGACATGCTGAATTTTGTGAAATTAGTATTGCTATAAAACTATGTACAGGTCATGCAGCAATGTCAACTTTGAAATATTTATCAAACAATTTTGTGTCATGGTGGACTTTGCTTCTATTAGTTATTAAAATATTGTCGTTATAGAAGACTTCAATATCGATTTGAATAAAAACAACAACAATTGTCAACTACGGAATGATGTCATAAAATCTTACGATGTCAAAATGAATAGGACCCAGGAGTGCACTATGGATTTTGTCCCTTCGATCTTCAACTTGATTACTATTTTCACTGATCTTATTTTTAACATGATTCTTTTAAGTCATTATTCTCTGTAGATGTGATAATCCGAAGCAATATGTAAACGTTGTATGCGATTACGATTATGACTCTGTCAGAACTATAGTCAGTGACAAAAAAATCACCAACACCGATATTAAAACTTGGCAAGTTTGATCTCACTTGCGTCTACGCAGTTATTTTTTAATGAAGTACCTACTCGGTTTTTCACAATTTGTCTACAGCCAAGTGCAAAAATGGGCAAGACAGAAACAGGTGTCCACGGTTTGCCCACTTTAAGTGTTGTGTCCACGAATTTTTTCATTTTTGATTTTTATCATACACACTCGATAACAGTTAATGAACAGAACATGAGGAAGAATGTTTATGGACAAGCATTCATATGAAAGACACATGTTTCTGGCTATTTAGCCTTCGTTAGTAAGGTATACAGCCAAGTTTAAAGGCTAGACAACAATTGGTTGCAAGAAAGGGATCAAAAACAAACAAACGGATTCAACATCAGGGGCCAACTGCGATTTCGTTTCATAGTTGGAAGACCTTGTGATTACAAACAAGGACTAACTCCCAACAACAACACGGGTGCAGCTATAGCAACCTGCGTGACATCCGGGTCCAAGATAAATCAAACATGAGAGATGGATATTGAGTGAACATGGTATGTAGGTAGAATCCTATGATGTTCTTATACGAATGGTTTAGTCGAATGTGAACTAATAGATTTCACAGCGCCTCTGTCGGCGCAATGTCTAATTTTAGGCGTCTGTTTAACAGGATATTTCTGTTTCTGAGTGGGCGGAAAGTCATGTAGATGATTTATGTAGGATATTTGTAGGACATTCCGTGTGTATACATATTTATTTATGTAACATTTAACACTTTTCTTCATGATGAAAAATATTACAATTTTTTTCATTTATAAAAAGCGAGAATAAAAAAGTTATAAATTCATTTTCTACTGAAAAATTTCATTACAACATATGGCGCAGTTGGAAGTGCAGATCCTGCAATTTCATTACGGTAGAAAAAGTGGAGAACCATAAAATAATCAAAAAAATAGTTGACCAAAATTATCGATAGGATAATGGATGAAAACATTCGAAATTTCAGTGATATTTAATAAATGGACTTCAGATTGCGAGAAAATTTCAAAGTTTGTGGTTCAGCTTGTCTAGTATCGCTTCGCAATAGTATGATTAGAAAATGAATGGATCAAATTTATTTTTATGGTCAGATTGGAAAAGATTACGTTCGCCAGGACTTCAGTATTTGGGTTTTCTGAACTATGAATATGGTTAACCAGACTGAAATAAATTAAACACTAAAGGTTAAGTGAAAGTTATTACAATAGATTAGCGAAAACCATACCTAAATTGGTTGAGCCATTTTTAAGATTGGCGTGCACAAACGCAAAGACAAACGGGCAAAGCATCAGTTAAGGCACCTACAAATGTGAAATAGCCGCAGTTTATTAGTTGTGAAACCAAGTTTTTGTGAAGTATAAAAGACTTCAAACCGTAGAAATTTTGCGATAAGAACATTAACCTGCCAAATGATAGTAAGTCATCAAATGCTGAAAATGGACTTCGACAGATTATGTATACAGTGCGTTTCTTCAATGTTCCCACAGTTTTTGAACGGGTCAATTAATGCATGAATAATTTATTTTGAAGTGAAATTGACACATACAACTTTCAAGATGGCGACTGGGCGCCATCTGTGAAAAAAATCAAATGGGAAGGGGAGTCTTGTGACACATTATTTTGAAGCTCCTGATGAATAATCTACAACCCTAGAATATGAAGTCAATATCTTCACCTACTACAAAATGGCAGAACATTTAATAATTTCCTGAAGACAAACACATTAATATCGATATTACTAGAAATATCCCTTTTTATCTGTCATATGGCAATTTCAACAACCCGATTAGGTTTGTTAAGTTATTTTTTGTTTATAAAAACGACAAAAAATATCAGTACTTCAATGAACATCATTGTTCAGTTAGAATATTCTCATTTAATTTTCGGTTTTACTAGTAGAAAGGTACCACGCCAACAATCTGTAAAATGATCAACTCTCGTCCAACGGAAGAAAAAATTGAAGCGATTTTTATTTACGGCGCGACGCGTAATAACTTTCACAAGACCGAAAGGATTTTCAATGAACGTTTTCCGAATCGTCCTATCTGTAGAAAACTTGTATCCAAATTCACAATTACCGGTAGTTTACATAACAAAAAGCCCCCAGGTCATCCGTCTATTCCGGAAGAACAGCAAGTGCAAATAATTGGTGAGATGGTAATAAATCCTGAATAGTCTACTTATTTCGTCGCGAATGTTTGTGAGGTGTCTCCTTCTACTGTGTGGAGACTTTTGAAGAGAAATAAGTATCGTCTATACATGATCGAAGAACAGAATTCTGCGAAATCATGACGGAAACCATTGCAAGACATCCTACCATCTCCACAATATTTGTTTTAGTGATGAATGTACATTTTTTTTAACGGCAATGTTCACAGACAAATTGCTGTTATTGGAGTGACACCAACCCAATATCCAGAAAAAAATAACGTTTGGGCAGGAATATTGGAAAACCATATTGTAGGACCTCTATTTATCGATCAAAATTTAACAGGGGAACTGTATTTGAATATGCTGGAAACTACTGTTGACGCCCTCATCACTGAAATCGTCGATATGGATTCGATATGGATATTGTATTCCAACAAGATGGAGCACCACCACATTTCTCCAGACAAGTATACAAGACTGTATACTAATTTTCCCGGTCGTTGGATTGGCCGTCGAAGTCCTACAGAATGGCCAGCCCGCTCACCAGATATGACACCTTTGAACTTTTTTATGGGGATATTTGAAGCAAAAGGTGTACAAAACTGAACCTGCTTTAATATTGATGAATAATAAACATTTGTGAAGATATTGACGTTACTGTGTTCGAAAATGTTTGGCGTAAAATATCGGTTCATATATCAGGAAGTACAAGGCAACTATTTCGAGCATCTTCTGAACTGACCTCAAGCTTATTACCGCATATGTAGTTAAAGGTCAATGTATTCAGGCAATTATTGAAAGTTCCACCATTTTGTAGTAGTTGAAGATATTGACATTATATTCTAGGATTGTGAAGCATTTGTCATGAGCTTCAAAAAGATGTGACACAAGACCCCCCTTTTCATTCAACTTTTTTTCTCAGATGACGCCCAGTCGCTATCTTGAAAATTTCATCTGTCAATTTCACTTCAAAATGAAGTATTCATGCATTAATTTCATTATTTCAAATTTCAGTTTTTGAGTTGACCCGTTCAAAAAATGAAAGGAGGAGAAATGCACTGTATACTAAAACTTCTAGTCTATTCGATGTAGGTGCCCAGCGTAAGCTTTCATTCAAGCTCTTGTAAAGAAAATGATGCACTTGAAAACTAGGCTTTTCATCGAGTATTTTATTGATAATTCTTGTGTAATCTTCCATTGCCCCAACTGTACAATCTTTTCTATTGTATTATCTAGTTTTTCTTTCTAT